TCATTCTTTTATGGTACTTTAGCAGAGAACAGGGAGGCCCCAGAGGTCCCAGGGGACATTAGGGCAGGGGGACAGCCGCCTTTAAGAATAGATACTCTGCTTGCAAATAAAACAGTAGTCACAAGTCTTCAGTAGCAATACTAACAGGGCAGGTGTCCCACATCCGGGCCAGGTCCCCAGCGAGCTCTGGGAATGAGGAGCAGACAATGGAGCTGCTGACTTCTAACTCAGGAGCTGGCTAAGTAGCCACATACCGCGTGCCGCTTCAACCCACAGGCTCACCGGCTGCCACTCCCTTTCTGCCCAGTGCAGGAACCAACCCACCTGGAGTTTCTAGTCTGTCAATTTAGTCCAGCAGCCTGGCCAGGGGAAGATTCAGTTGACTTAGAGGCAATGGCATTTCTCACTGGGTTCTGGAGAAATAAATATTAAGAGAGGGTGACGTACTATTAAGCATAAATGAGCAGTCACTGGCCCACATGTGAGAGGTTGAAGTAGGATCTGGTAGAGTCACGGGAGAGAAGATGCTGTCCACACTTCCCTGTCCACCTCTGCACCTGTCTGTCCTGCCCTCTCCTCCCAAACTGACTTCTGCACTTTATGTCTCCCTAGGAAAGCAGAGAAAGCAGCCGTCTCCTTGGGGGCTCCCACGACTACCAGGTGAGTCAGGGGACAGCCAGGGCGGCTTAGCAGAAGGGATGGTGGAGAGTGGGACAGAATGTCAAGAGACAAAAATACCTATTTCCTCTCCCAAGTCGCTCTTAAACTGCTGAGTGACTACCAGGAAACCAAAATGGCGGCTGGGATCTCCCTCCCTCCTCTACTACTGGTTCCCTTCCTCCTTCCGTTTGGGATCAGAGCCATACTGATGGCAGATGTGATATCAGTCAAAAAGAAAAAGAACAGAGACTAGGCCTGGAGGCAAGACTTATAATCCCAGCTACTAGGGAGGATGAGGCAGGAGGATCACAAATTCAAGGATTGCCTGGTCTATAGAGTGTGTTCAAGGCCACTCTGGGGCAACTTAGAGAGATCCTATTTTAAAAAGCAAAAGATAACTGGGGCATGGCTCAGTGGTAGAGCCCCTGCCTAGAATCCCCCAGTGAGGGGTTGGGGGCGTGGCTCAGTGGTAGAGCCCCTGTTCAACATATGTGAGACTCTAGGTTCAGTTTCCTGTGATATCTGTTCGCTGAATAGAGATCAACAGAATATACATGCATATACATATATATATATACATACAGACATATATATATATATGTACATTTAAATGTGCTTAATAAGTAAGTATTGAGAAGAGGAAAGTTGCTGAACTTTGGGTATAAAGATGGGGGTTAAAAGTCAGGTCCACCACTCATCATCTAAGCTTTTTCAGGCAGGTCAATTGACCTCTTTGAGTCTGGCTCCCTAGCATAAGAAGGGACAGTGAACCCTGACCTGCCCATCTTCCTTAGCTACTGTTGACTTCTCTGTATCATAATCAAACTGGGGTAATGCAGGGTCTAGACAGTAGGCCAGTCTAGAGGCCCTGTTGGCCACTTCTGGAGAAATGAAGTCATTGCAAATCCATCCTATGCTGTGGTGCTAGGAGCAAAGTGGGACCACACATTATCTCTCATCATTTTCACTGGCCTTTGTTGGGGCTGGGCAGAAGGAAGTGGAGGCAAAAATGTGACCATTAGACATGGTGGTGGATCACTGTAACCACTGTAGAACTGGGAGGTTGACACAGGAAGATCACTGCCAAGTTTGGGGCCAGCCTGGGCGACAAAGTGTGTGCATGTCTCGAGAGACCAGGTCAGCTGTGTGGTTGAAGTCATTCGTCTTTTTGAGCTGGGAGTTCAGGAGTGCGAGAGAGAAGAGAAAAGGTTATGGCGAGAAGGAGAGACGCAGGGCCATTGGTGGAGATGGGTGGGCCTGGGGTGGACTGGCAGGCACTTGTGTGATGGTGAACATGAGCTTTGAACATGGCTTCCTTTCCCCTATCCAGGAGCATGGGTCCAATGGGAATGGCGAATACAATGAAGCTGTCAGTGGACTCAAAGCTGTGGTGAGCGGAGCTCTTACTCCACTTTGGGCCGGGACTGGGGTGTCGGGCATCCTTGTGTCTCGTTCCTTCCCGACACCCGCATCTCCCGCCTCTGCCTCTTGCTCACAAAGTGGACTCTTAACTTCCTGCTGTTTCTCATCCATTCCTTAGAACTCCGACCCGTCTTCCTTGCCCTTCAACTTTGACAGTTTCTGGGAGGTAAGCTGCTTGGCCCCCCAGGAGAAGCAACCCCACTTCCTTAGTCCTCCACGTCCCAAGAGAAAAGCCATGGTCTTGACCTTTTCTTTAGGATTTTTAAATTCTACTTTCATTTTATACATATGAGTGCTTCACCTGCATATATGTCTGAGTACCGCATGTGTATCTGGTGGCAGCAGAGGCCAGAAGAGGGCATTAGATCTCTTGGAACTGGAGTTGGAGATGGCTGTGAACCACCATGCAGGTGCTGGGAATAGAACTCAGATCCTCTGGAAGAGCATCCAGTGCTCTTGACCTTTTCTGGCCTGAAAAAGAAAACAAAACAAAAAGCCAGACATTGTTTCATGATCTGATTTGGACATTTCTTTTTGTTTTCTCTGCAGAATTTTAAATCCAAGTTGGGTTTCATTAACTGGGATGCCATAAACAAGGTAAGGGCCGGAAGGCCGTGCACGCCCTGATGGTTTGAGAGCAGAGGACCAGAGGGAGGAGAGCTAGACATCTTCACGATGAGGCAGGAGAATAGTAATCATGATCATTTGGCAAACGATCAAACCAAATGCATCTACGTGAGGAGCCAATGGAGACCTGGAAAGATAGGGTGAATTCGGAAATCGTTGGGTGCTGGCAATGAGCAGAGGAGATGACTGTCTTTAATACCTTAATGTGAAGAACCAGATGACTCCTCAGCCTCAGTCTCCCCTTTAGACCCGTGAGGTACAGGTTTGTCATCTCTGCAACTGGGAAGACGAAGCAACAGGATTGGCAACCTCAAGGCCACCCTGGACTTGCAGAGCGAGTTCACAGCTTGCTTGGGCAATGTAAGAGATGATATCTCAAAGTCCATCAGTGAAGGTCTGACTTGAAACTCAGTGTGGAGCCCCTGCCTAGAATCCTCCAGTGAGGGCTGGGGTACAGCTCAGTGGTAGAGCCCCTGCCTAGAATCCTCCAGTGAGGGGCTGGGGTGTGTCTCAGTGGTAGAGCCCCTGCCTAGAATCCTCCAGTGAGGGGCTGGGGGTGTGGCTCAGTGGTAGAGGCCCTGCCTAGAATTCCCCAGTGAGGGACTGGGGGTGTGGCTCAGTGGTAGAGCTCCTGCCTAGAATCCCCCAGTGAGGGGCTGGGGTGTGGCTCAGTGGTAGAACCCCTGCCTAGAATCCCCCAGTGAGGGGCTGGGGGTGTGGCTCAGTGGTAGAGCACCTGCCTAGAATCCCCCAGTGAGGGGCTGGGTTGTGTCTCAGTGGTAGAGCCCCTGCCTAGAATCCCCCAGTGAGGGGTTGGGGGTGTGGCTCAGTGGTAGAGCCCCTGCCTAGAATCCCCCAGTGAGGGGTTGGGGTGTGGCTCATCAGTGGAGCTGCTTACCTAGCACTAGTGAAACTCTGGGTTCAATCCCAGCTCTACACAAAAGGGATTAGGTAGACTGAGTAGGCATGATCCTAGGGAATTCACTGAATGGGGAGTCATGTGGACCTACAAGGTCATATGTAGACTGAAAAACAAAGAGAGACAAGGAGAATGGACAGGGAGCTGCTGAGTACCAGATGTGTGACAGGTCTTGGGAGTGACCCTGCTCACATACACCTCACAGCTGGGGCAGTGAGACCCTTTCTCCTTCTCCCGTCCTACCCTTCCCTTTCACAGTGGATGCCCTTGGCCAGGATAGTTTGACATCATGATAGCTTGATGGGAAATGAGAGGGATGAAGGGAAAAGAAAAATCCGAACTCCCCGGGCAGAAACCGTGACTATGGATGACAAATAGTGCCTGTTTAGACCACTTTTTAAAAAAGCCACCTTGGAGCTTATTTTTACTTTAAAAAATGTTTACCTTTCTTAAAAATTTAAAATTTTGTTATTTGTGTGTCTGTTTCTGTGTGTTGGGGAGTGGTACCCATGGAGGCCAGAAGAGGGCATTGGATCCCTTGGAGCTGGAGTTACAGGCAATTGTGAGCTGCCTGATGTGGTTGCTGGGAACTGAATTCTGTCCTCTGCAAGAACAAGTACTCTTAAATCCTGAGCCATCTCTCCAGCCCTATTTTTAGTTCAAAGAATTCTCTTTTTTTTTTTCAGTGCTTGGGATTGAACCTAGGGCCAAAAGAGAGCTAGACACAGTGCTCTACCATTGAGACACATCCCCAGCCCCTCACTGGGGGATTCTAGGCAGGGGCTCTCCCACCGAGCCACACCCCCAGCCCCTCACTGGGGGATTCTAGGTAAGGGCTCTACCACTGAGCCATACCCCAGCCCCTCACTGGGGGATTCTAGGCAGGGGCTCTACCACTGAGACACACCCCAGCCCCTCACTGGGGGATTCTAGGCAGGGGCCCTACCACTGAGACACACCCCAGCCCCTCACTGGGGGATTCTAGGTAAGGGCTCTACCACTGAGCCACACCCCAGCCCCTCACTGGGGGATTCTAGGCAAGGGTTCTACCACTGAGCCACACCCCCAGCCCCTCACTGGGGGATTCTAGGCAGGGCTCTACCACTGAGCCACCTCTCTAGCATTCTTTTTCACTTTTTATTTTGAGACAAAGTTTCATTAAGTTGTCAAAGCAGTCCTTAAATTCATGATCCTCCTGCCTCAGCCTCCTGAGTAGCTAGAATGACAGGTCTGAGACACCAGGCTCAGGAGAGTTGGAGGGTGTTAAGAAACAACAGTACACACCCAAGAGATGGGGTGGCCTTATCATGAGTCACCAAGACACATTTAAAATATATATATATAAATTACTTGCCGAAGTTTAAAAATTGGATGACTTCACCTAGTGCCTTAGGCTTATCTTGAACGATTTGGCCTCTCTGGGACCCCCCTTCATGGGACAGAGTGGTCCTACTTTATGCTGTGGACCCTTGTTCTCTAGAAGCTATTCTGAGCCTGTCTGTCAAGCTTTCCAGCCACCCGATTGGCCCTTTGAGCTGCTGAAATTTTAATCCTTATCCTAAAACATCCTTCCCAAGACTTGGGGTCTCTGTGGGAGAGCGGGCGTGGTGAAATGGGAACAGAATTGTCCAAACCTCCGGAAAGCCTGCTTGACTTGTGAGGGATAAGGCGAAGGTAGGAGAGACGGGTGTTTTCCAGTGGCAACAAGTTTCTGGTTTAAATGGACAAAATAGATTCTGTTTTATTTTTGTGCTTTATTATTTAACTTTGAGACAGAGCCTCCCAATGTAGCTCAGGCTAGCCTTGAACTTACTTGGTAGCCCAGATTTACCTCAAACCTGAGTGTTTCCTGACTCAGCCTCCTGAGTGCTGGGCTTCCAGGCACAAATACCATGCCTGGAAAGAGAGGTCTGTTTTTTAAGAAAACAGTTTCTGGTGGGGCAAGCCTCTTTGCTGTGGTCCTTGGGGACTAAGGATCCCCTAGGAGGCCAGGACACAGGCTGGCACTTCACCAAGCATTTTTGCCCATCTGGGGAATGCTAGCTAGGTGGGATTCACAGGGACTGGCCTCTCAGCAGGTCAGTCGGGACGAAGGGGGAGGCAGAGCTGGACAGGAGAGGACACCCAGCTCTAGTCTTCCCCAGTGGGAAGGGGATGAGGGAGCTGAGCACTTCAGCCAATGGGGTGAGCGAGAGGAGGGGCTCTAGCTCCAGCTGGGGCCTGGGGCTTGTGTGGAGTGATGCCAGTCTTAGATGATCCGTGCAGAATTTGAGGGCAGGGTTCCCTGCCAGCCCCGCCCCCTCTCCACGGCTCCCCCAGAGATCCCAACTCCTCTAGCTTCCTCTTAGAACCCATTTCTCTGCTCAGGACAAAGGGAGCTTTCGCAAACCATGACCATCAGATGAGGAGCTACCAGCTGCATGAGAGCCCCACCCTTCCCTCACCCCGACTCTCACCCTGCCCCCTGGAAATAAACCATAGCTGTCGCACACTTCTGGTCTCTGCTCCTTTCTTCGCCTCCACTGTTGTCCTGGGAGGGAGGAGGGAGATGTGCTGGTGACTGCCGTAGCCCTGGGTCCTGAGCGGCTTGTGAGGGTTGTGTTGTACCAAGGAGAGGGACCGAGCTGGGCCTGGGCAGGCACACAGCACGGATAACTAGCCAGTCTCTCTCTCTCCATTTCCAGGTTCTGGTGTCCCTAGGGACTCCCAGCATGCCTGTCACACATTAGTTACGAGGCATCTCTGAAGGCTGAAAAGCGGCAGGAGTGGGAGTCGGGGCTTTAGATGAGCAGTGGCGGGGCTCCCTGCTAACCTGTTCCCCATCTTTTGTTCACAGGGCCGCCTCCCGCCTCCCAGCACCCGAGCCTTACTCTACTTCCGCAGACTCTGGGAGGTAGGAGAAGTCTCGCTTTCCAAAGACCTGGGGATCTTGACCGTCATGCCCCCTATCATGTGTCCCGCAAAGCAGCTGTAGCCGCCTACCACAAACATCGTTCCTCGTTTGGGGGTGTTCGTTTCGTTTCTGCGGTGCTGGGGATCCAACATGGAGCTTTGCACGTGCTGAGCAAGCCCGGTTACTAAGCGACACCCCCAGCTCCTCCCTCACTTTTTTTTTAGCTGTTATCGTATGTTTTTGAGGGGGGATCTCACCATGTAGCCCTAGCTGGCTTTGAACTCGCTAGCTGGCCCAGGCTGGCCTTGAATTCACTGTGTGACCTGGGCTAGCTTGGAACTCACAATCCTCTCGTCTTGGCTTTTGGAGTGCAGGGGTTCTGGGTGTGTACCACCGCACCTGACGACTCTTCTCATCTTTGAGATAGGCCATCTCATTATATTTTATCCCCAACACTATCTCAGATTCAAGCACCCTCAGCTTCCCATATGCTTATCTTCACCCAAGCCCAAGGCACGCCTGGCCTTTCCTATGGCCTCCTGGCACCCGGCCCAGTGTGCTGTCATTTCCTCCTCTGAGTTCTGACACCACAGGCACTCGCTCACCCCTTCTTCTCCTTCCAGAATTTCAAACGCAAAACTCCCTACTTCAACTGGAAACAGATTGAGGTAAGGGGGTTGGACAGAACTTCTCATTTTGGGGTGAGGCAGCTTAGCTCTGGGGACTCAGGGTTGGCAGTCGGTGACAGATGGCTTACTGATGTCCCTGTTCGAGTTTCCTCCTGTCCCTGGTGAGGGAGGACAACTTCCCTTCCCACTTTTTTTGGTTTATGCAATCCTGAGTTGGGTGGAGCGGGAGAGAAGCTATGAGTCAGGACTGAGGTGGGAGGGGTCTCCGTAGGATAAAATCCCAGGGCCAGAGGCTTGGGACTCATTACACCAGAGCAGAACCATGAAGCCAGGCACTGTCTCGGTTCTGCTACTTATGCTGCTGGGCGTGGCCTGGCGCGGAGACAGCCACAGCTGGGTGGGTACCGAGGGAAAGTGGGTGGAGGGGAGAACTCAAGATGGGGAGAAGAAAGGACTTGGGGTCAACTCTCAAGCGATGGCAGAGGGGTACAGGGGAGGATGCTGAGGGGAATCAGGCGTTCAGGTGGGTGCGGGAGGCCTGAACAGCTGGGTCTTGGGGAGGATGAGCAGGTCCACTGTGTCATCTAGAAAGGCACACAGCAACATTGAATGGCTAGTGGCCTTTGGGAACCAGAACTGAGACAAGGCTGTCTGAGTTCCTCATGCACACATGTGGGAACTGAGTTACTACAGTGTAATTTTTTTTCCAAGAAAAACTAGAAATCTGATTTTAAATCATTTGCAACTATTTTTTTTAAGAAGATCAAACAAAAAGTGTCTAGAGGCCTGTGAGTGACCAGTTTGTGACCTCAGTGTCAGAACTGGTAGTGGGGCTAAGACTCAGTTTCAGGGTGCTGGGGGTATAGCTCAGTGGTGGAGACCCTGCCTAGAATCCCCCAGTGAGGGGCTGGGGTGTGGCTCAGTGGTAGAGTTCCTGCCTAGAATCCCCCAGTGAGGGGCTGGGGTGTGGCCCAGTGGTAGAGCCCCTGACTAGAATTGCCCAGTGAGGGTCTGTGTGTGTGGCTCATTGGTAGAGCTGCCTAGAATCCCCCAGAGAGGGGCTGGGGGTGTGACTCAGTGGTAGAGTGACTCAGTGGTAGAGCACCTGCCTAGAATCCCCCAGTGAGGGGCTAGGGTGTGGCTGAATGGTAGAGCCCCTGCCTAGAATCCCCCAGTGAGGGGCTGGGGTGTGGCTCAGTGGTAGAGCACCTGCCTAGAATCCCCCAGTGAGGGGCTGGGGATGTGACTCAGTGGTAGAGCCCCTGCCTAGAATCCCCCAGTGAGGGGCTGGGTTGTGGCTCAGTGGTAGAGCCCCTGCCTAGAATCCCCCAGTGAGGGGCTGGGGGTGTGGCTCAGTGGTAGAGCCCCTGCCTAGAATCCCCCAGTGAGGGGCTGGGTTGTGGCTCAGTGGTAGAGCCCCTGCCTAGAATCCCCCAGTGAGGGGCTGGGTTGTGGCTCAGTGGTAGAGCACCTGCCTAGAATCCCCCAGTGAGGGGCTGGGGTGTGGCTCATTGGTAGAACCCCTGATCCTGGGTTTGATCCTTATTGTCTGTGTCAGATGTTGAGGAGCTGTGGGAAGTGCACTGAAACGCCTTTAACGCTTCCTTGCCTGTCTTCCCTTTCCTGGGAACTAACCTAATCACTGAGCTTTAAGCATCCCATGGAGAATAACATCAGTGTAGCAGGATCAGGAGGCCCATAGGGAGCTGCAGTGTCTGCCAGCACATGGCTAGCTAGGCCTGAGGGACACATGTGGGTTCATCTCCTTTGTTATTCTAGCCCCCTCTCCACTCAGAGCTTCCAACCATGCAGCACCTGTGGAGGTGGTGTTGTTGGTGTCCCACACTGTGGCACCTGTGGGGGTGGTGTGTGTCCCACATTGCGGCACCTGTGGGGGTGGTGTGTGTCCCACACTGCGGCACCTGTGGAGGTGGTGTGTGTCCCACACTGTGGCACCTGTGGGGGTGGTGTGTCCCACACTGTGGCACCTGTGGGGGTGGTGTGTGTCCCACACTGCGGCACCTGTGGGGGTGGTGTGTGTCCCACACTGTGGCACCTGTGGAGGTGGTGTGTGTCCCTCACTGTGGCATCTGTGAAGGTGGTGTGTGTCCCAACCCTCCACCATTGCTCCCCAGTCCTGAGTGTGGAAATCTGTGTCCTCTGTCTGTCTGGGCCCTCGGCATCCTCCAGTCCTACTGGACTTAGCTGGGACCATTACAAGGGTGGGGAGGGATGGGCAGAGCCCCAAGAGGAAGTAGAGTTGAGGCAGTGGCATGTCTGGGCTTTGGAAGCTGGCAAGGCCTGGAGGGCCGCGGAACTGCTGACCACAGCTTCCGGCTCCCTTTCAGGACTCAGATCTATCATCCCTGCAGAAGAGGGCAGGAGGCGCTGATCAGGTGAGTCCCTCTGCCCACAGGCTCCCCTGGAAAGCCCTGGGTCTCTCTCTGCCCCATTCTCAAGGCTGGCTAATCTGAAATTCTCTCTGTTATCCTTCCTCCACCTGATAGTTTTCTCAGCCTGAAGCAGCAAGACAAGAGTCAGCTGTCACAGCCAAGGCAAGCTGTCTCCTCCCAACCCCTCACTTAAATGCCACCCTTCTCCTGGTCACCTACGCTTGCCTCCCATGCCACTCTTGGAGAGTTGGGATAGGGACCAGGGAGGAGGAGGAAGGACCTGACAGGGTGGGCTCCAGTTGGTCCTGTGGGGTAACATGAAAGAAAGGCCATGTTACAAAGTGCGGGCTTCTAAGAAACCTGTTGTCTGGGCAAAAAAGTGATGTATTTATTACATAATGAAATGCCATCTTCCCGTCTCCTCTGCACCCTTTTGTTTCCCCCAGAACTACTACAATAACCCGCAGGGGAATCCTACTTACAACTGGCAATACTATGCCAAGACCACTACCAAGGTGAGTTTTGAAAAAGCTCTCTCTCTCTCTCTCTCTCTCTCTCTCTCTCTCTCTCTGTGTGTGTGTGTGTGTGTGTGTGTGTGTGTGTGTGTGTGTGTGTGTGTGTGTGTGCTTGGAGCAGGGAGAGGCCTGCCTCCTTTCTCCATCACACTGCTTTGTAAGGGGGACCCCAGTGTATGCCCCCCCACACCGCCCTGAGAGCTGCTTGGAAGTATGTGTAGGGGAGAAACCTGGGCAACAAGATGCTTCCATACGGACAGATTACAGCCACCAGGCCAAACACACAGACTTGCTTCATAGTGTGGCTTTCTTGCCCTTTGTGGGGCAGCAGCTGGGGTGGAGGAAAGCAGCCTAGCACATCCTAGAAGCTAAGCTAAGGGACTCTTGGTTGGTGGGAAATTGAATTCTTTGAGCCTCAGAGGAAATTAAAAAAAAAAAAAAAGGTGGGGAGTGGACAACTGAGAGGTTTGCTTTGCATAGTTGTAGAGAAGGCAGTCTTAGGGGTCCATGAGCTGGCTCAGCGACTTCCTTCCATTTCCCAGAACACTGAGGCCCTGGCGAAAGCAACCGCTTCTAAGATTAGAGAACTTGGATCTTGGTGGCCTATCATCCCAGCTGCTTGGGTTAGGGTGGGGATGGTGGCTGAGGCAGGAGGATCACAAGTTCAAGGACTACCTGGGCTACAGAGTTCAATCTAGCCTGGTCAACTTAGAGAGATTCTGTCTCATAAAGGTCAAAAAAAGAGCTAGGGATGTACTCAGAGGTAGGACGCTAGCCTAGTATGTGTGAGCCACTTTTACTTTGAAGGAAATGCCACCATAGGCTGACTTCCGTCTATCCCATGGACAGGAGAGATCTCCTCCTATTCCTCCATTGTGTTGTGTGTTTGGGGGGGCCATTATTCAGTATCATCCTGGATAAAATGTATGCTCTGGGGAAAATTCCACAGACTGAGTATCCACAACCAGCCTGAAGGACCTTGCTGATAATATTGGCTTGTGCTCGCCAGAGGGGACCTTGGGGAGCCTGAGGCCAAGGTAGAGCCTAGAGAGGGCTGCCATGGCCTCATGTCACCTTCTTTGATCTTCTCTTTCCAGGGAGGAGTCACGCCTTCATCATCCTCGGTGAGTATGGGGGGTTGGGAAGACGCAGCTGGAGACAGAGGGACCTGAGGCTGCTGAGGGTGGAGGTAACAGTGTAATGTCTACTCAGCCATTCCCCTTGTCCCGCAGGCTTCCCGGGCACAACCTGGCCTGCTGAAGTGGCTGAAGTTTTGGTAGGTAAGTGTCAGAGTGGGCCACACAAGTGGGCTGAATGTCAGGAGTAGGAGTGACCGCCTCTGGGGCAGGCTGGGAGCTGGGCATTTCCGTGGACTTTGGTGAGCAGCAGCAGCTGCAGCAGCAGCAGCAGAAGTCAGGTTTCCTCGGGTGGATACAGAAGAGGGGTTCCCTCTTTGTGGGACCTGGAAAATGGTCCAGGACACATGGGACTGTGTGTGAGTGAGGATGAAGGGCTGAACAGAGAGGGAACCACACAAGCACAGAACCAAGGAGAAGGCTGGCCTGTGGTGCTCACAGACTGGTGAGCCTTTTAGGAGGCCGAGGTTCAGAGGCGTGATGAAGCAAGGCCCCAGGACGGAAGTCTGTTCTTCTTGGTGAGGTTTTTGTTTTGCATTTTTTTTTTTTTTTTTGGTTTTTCGAGACAGGGTTTCTCTGTGTAGCTTTGCGCCTTTCCTGGAACTCGCTTTGGAGACCAGGCTGGCCTTGAACTCACAGAGATCCGCCTGGCTCTGCCTCCCGAGTGCTGGGATTAAAGGCGTGCGCCACCACCGCCCGGCTTGTTTTGCATTTTTGAGACAGGGTCTTTCTGTATAGCTCGAGGTGGCTTCGAACTACTAATTTCTCTCACCTCAGCCTCCCCGGTGCTGGTGGCACAGGTGCGTACCACCATGCCTGGCCTGGAAAGGTTACTGAGCACCTCAGTGAGACCACAAAATTTGTTTCATGAGGAGACTGAAGGTGGACGGGGTAGGAATCTTCGTGAAAGAGTTCGTTCCCCATCGACGTGGGTGTGGCTGTGTTCTACCGTTTATTTTTCTCCTCTTTTTGTGTTTTTTCTTCTAGAAATTTTCTTCTAGTCGCTGCTGACACTTCATGAACACAGGTCTTCAGGGAGCTTGATTGTACTTACCCACAGTCCTCTCTGCTGCGACAGAGCTACCTGGGTGTTGACAACCCCCCCATCATCCCACCTAGGGACCTGGTTTACCTGTTCTCATCCTCCTCATTTGGCTATGGTGTCTCGGAGACAAATCAGCCTCGTGGGGTTACCAGCCAGTGTCTTCCCCTTCTCCCGATCGTGATGGGAAGTTCCCATAATGCACTAGGAACTTCCTGCTTTCAAGCTTCTCCGTGGAAATAAAACACGACTTTGTTTTCCCAAGACTTTCTCCACGTGTTGTTCTTCAATACAACCCGGCTGACCTAGGTGTGGGAGAATGGAAGGATGGGTTTCTGGCTGAGAACCTTTTCCTGAGTGTAGAATGAGAGATGTGGTTAGCTGGAGAGAGATGAGACCCGGGCTTAGGTCTGGGTAACACGGGTCGCAGCTAGCTGACGGACAGCGTCATGCAAGTTTCTCCATCTTCAAAAACAATTTTTGCCTAGCATACAAATACCGTGCTTACAGTAGCTGTAGGTGTTTGGTGGCCTGAGGAGGCTGTTCAAAACGACAGACCAGTTCTGAGGGTGGGGACACACAGGGACTGGGCAAGGCAGACCAGCTGTTAGGGTCTGAGAGAAGCCCCCAAGAAAGACCAACAGACACGTATGCAATTTAGCAAGGGCGTTTATTTCCGAAACATGTTGGGGTGGCAAATAGCGACCCTAAAGGGAGGTCACAGCTCCTTTTAAGCGGAGTTAGGGGGATTCCAGGGAGGAGGGATTAATCTGGCGCTGATTGGTGGAGGAAAGATTAGTCTGGGGGCTGATTGGTTGGAGGCTGTAGGGGTTAGGGGCTTGTGGACTGCAGGGTAGGAAAGCTATCTTTAGCTAGCAGAAGGCTGGGGGAGGCGGAGGACATGTGCTGAGCCAGCAGAAGGCTGTGAGGCATCTGCTGATTGGTTGCCCCTGAGCTGTGGTCTTCCCGAGAACAGCTTGCTCAGCTCCAGCCAGTTCCAGTAAACCAAAACTAAGGCCTGGTCCCTGGCAGGGCTGTTAGAAACCTGACTTGGCTCTGATCTGGCTCCCCAGTCCTCTCACCAGCAAGGACTGGTGGAGAATATGCTGGGCGTGTCATAACACTCTCGGTTGGGTGGGGACCGGCAGATGGTGGCAGCGTGTAGGAAGCTGGGGAACGAAGCGGGAGCCAGAGTCACTGCCTTGCGGTGCAGCCGCTGCTGTGACGCCGAGGAAGGCCGGTGGTGAACCAGCGGGAGCCGCTCGGGCACTGGGCACAGGCTGAGCAGCCCCTGGGACAGGCCAGACAGCACTGTGTTTCATGGAACTGGTACGGAGCCCAAATGGAGGGGCCCCTGTCACTGTCCTCCCACCCCCGACATCCATGGAGGGGAGCAGGAAGTAGAGAAAGACAAGAAATCCTGCGAGTTGAGCGAGTCCTGTGCCATTTGCAAGTTCGCTAAGCGCTTGGCAACACTGTCTTTGGTTGTAGTTAGACACAAGGCCTCAAATAAGTTGTGAACCAGTGAAAGAAACGTGGCCCTACGCTGATTCAGGCAAGCCACCTGATCAAACCGGTGGAAATTCAGGCCTACTGGCTGTCTTCCCCTTAATTTGGTTCTTAAATTGAGGCTCCGGGTTGCTCTCAACTGTGTGGAGGGCCTTGCAGTACCTCGTCACAGCCACATGGGGGAAGACGAGGGGCTGTCCCTGGGAGAAGCCCGGTCCTCACTGGTGACAGGGCTTCCTGTGTGCGAATGGGAATGGGAAATGGTTGGGAAACCAGGTCTCCTGGGGCCAGTCCCCGAGGGGACCAAGTAACTAGGATCAAGATGGTTCCCGACTCTTAGGGGATGTTCCTGGTCCTTTGGAGTTTAACGTGAGGTTGTCTGGTGTGAGGGGCCCTCCAATAACGGGCAGTGGTCCCTCCCTCCTAGCGAGCCCCGAGTTTTTACTAGAGCTCTGAGGTCCCATTTTTCAAGCTCCCGATCAGCCCTAGACTGGGTAGTCTACTCCTTCAAAGTCAAGGATCTGGTGGGAGAGGCTCTCGAGGTGACAGGGTAATCTGGTATTAATATCTCTCTTCTCCTCCTTCCCTACTTCTCCCCACAGAGTTGTATCTTGCGACTTTTTACTTCTCTAATTAAATTTTTCATTATATGTCTATTGTGTGTATACGTGCGTGGGTGTGGGTCTGCGGGCGCGTCTGCGGGCAAACCCACACATGTGCCATAGTGGTGTGTAGGTCAGGGGGATAACTTGCCAGAGTCAGGCTTCTCCTTCCACTATGCGGATCCTGGGGTTCAAATTCAGACACTTGCTTCATGGCAAGCGCGTTTACCCAATGAACCAACTTTCAGGCACTACGTTTTGTTTTGAGGCAGGTTCTCATCTGAGTTGCCCTTGCTGGTTCCATAGTACAGGCAGAATGCTCCTGCCTCAGGCACCAGGTCTAGCTCAGTCTCTCCCCACCCCCAGTAGTTAACTCTTTCTTTCTCTCTGTTTGTTTCTTGCGGGTCTCAGTTCACAGGCTCCTCCCTAGGTCATCTCCCGGCACCTGTTACCATCGGTGAGTACTTGTTTGTTTTGTTAGGTGGCATCTGCCTCCTCCCCAGGAGCAGGAATGGAAAGGCTGGCCATCTTGTCTTTCTTGACTTCCCAATACAGAGAACTGAAGTGTCTGCTCAAGAAATCTTTGAGGGTTACCCAATGGGAGGAGGGACTGGAGTTCAGTGGGACTGATCCAGGAAGTCTTCCTGGGAGAAGTTTAGGCAAACAACTTCCGAGTGGGAGGAGGAGAGGCTGTTTCCAGGAGTGTGGTAATAATTGGCACTGGCCGGAGGTCATTCTTCCGACTCTAATTGCCCCACACCCTCTCCTGAGACCCCAGGCCCCCTTCTTTCTCCATGGATGCCCCCATCTGTCCCGAGATTCCCTGAGTATCTGGTGTTCATCCCTTAATCACTCAACCCTGATACCCAGGAGGCTGGCTCCTACCCCAGGGCGTGTCATGATGGAGCAATCAGGGTTGGGCCTCACCTCCTACCCACATCAAGTTCTATCACAGTTGGCGTGGGTGGGGGCAGGCAGTGAGACAGCGGGGGTTTACTGATGTTCTCAGAGAAGGAAGGGAGTGGCTAGACCTAGGGATGGGGTTACAGAGTCAGTGGGACCCCATCTCTCTATGTATTCATTCAAAGCAGAGTGGGATCCTGGGAGATTTCCCCTCTTCTTCCCCACTCCATGACTGAACTGTTGTGACCTCCCTTATTGAGGACTACCTACCCCTTCCCCACTCTATTGGAGATGGGACACTTGGGGAGCACTACGTCACCAAGGCAGTGTGGATGGAGGAAATGAGGAGCATGGAGAGGGAGACTAACATTAGTGCTTAACATAGAAATCATTTCACTCCTGAAAATTTATCAGGGAGCCGAACCTATCTTTCCAGCTTCTCAGGAGGCTGGGGAAGGAGGTCAAGGCCAGCCTGGGAATTGTGTGTGTGTGTGTGTGTGTGTGTGTGTGTGTGTGTGTGTGTGTGTGTGTGTGTGTGAGAGAGAGAGAGAGAGAGAGAGAGAGAGAGAGAGAGAGTTCATGCTAACGTGGGTGCTCATGTCTGAGTACCAGTCAGAAGGCAACCTTGGGTATCATTCCTCAGGAGTCACCCACTTTGTTTTTGAGACAGGGTCTCTCATAGGCTTACAAGTGTCTGGGCTGGCTGGCTAGTGAGCCCAGGAATCCTCGCTGCTACACAGCTTTTTCCAAGAGTTCTAGGGATCCGACTCAGGACCTCATGCATGCATGACGAGCAGTTCACTGGCTGTACTAGCCCTTCCGCTCCTGGTCTAGGACCCTGAATGAGACCCTGTCACAAAAAATAAAAAGAGGGCCGACAAGATGGCTTTGCTGGTAGAAAGCCAACACTGACTGCTGAAGCTGTCTTCTGAACTCGGCACACACATGCACCACATGCACACTAAATGTAAACATTAAAAACAAAGACAGTAAAAGAGAGCTGAGGATGTGTGTAGCTCAGTGGTAGTTTTGCCAAGCATGTATGAAGCCCTAGGTTCAACCCCCAGTACCGTAAAACAAACACAATGCTTGGATCATCTGGAAGGTGACAAGTGAGGACAAGTCATCAGACCGACACATCCAGCTTTTGCCTCCACAGGGGAACAGAATTCCTTTGGCTGAACACCCGAGTGGATGGCTTGTGTTTAGAGGTGTTGTGTCTTTACACACTACAGCTACAAACACGGGGTCCAGAGCAGAGTGCTGTCTTTGTTTACACTTTCTGTTTGTTTGTTTTCCGAGATAGGATCTTGCTATGTAGCCCAGGCTGGTCTCCAGCTCTCCAGGCCCCTATGGCCACCACACCCAGCTAGAACATTACCTTCAAAGACATACTTGATGTGGGAAGCTGGTTTTTCTACGTGGGACATCTGGAAACTAAGGTAATTAATTGCAGGTTTATTGTAGGACATGGTTGCCAAAGCCAGTAACTCGGGTTGAGCTCAGAGCCTTGAACATGCTCTACAACTGAGCCATACTCCAGGAACTCCCTCGCTGGCGGACTCCAGGCATGTGCTCTACCACTGAGGTACATCCTCAGCCCCCCTTTGCTTTCTATTTTGAGACAACATGTCAGTAAGTTGCTCAGGCTGGCCTTGAACTCACTGCCTTGATCTTTGCATCCTCCTGCCTCAGCTTTGGGAGTTCCTAGGATGACAGCCCTTCACTGTGCCTGGCTAGTTCCTTCTTTTGGTTTGCTGAGAGTGTCTGGCTGAATTCATTTAGATTAACACATACACGCTTCAAGCTTTGGTCACAAAGCTCATCTGGCCAAGGGGGCTCCTGAGTCTGCCCTGCACTCGCTGGTCAAGGGTCTAATCATACCAAATGCTACGGCACAGGGAGCAAAGGACTGTCAGAGACCCAGCTCAGGCCTTGGAACCCCAGCGCTCTCACAGTGGCCCTGCCACACACCCACACCAGGCATGCAACCTTTGTTAAATTATTTAACCTCTGGATTTGCCATGGCTCCCCCACCCACAGAATGTGGGTAATTAGAATGCCTATCTCCCAGAACTTCTGATAATTCGATGATATCATGCACTCAGAATACTTAGCACAGGGCCTGCCACAGAGTCAGAACTGGCAAGGCTATTGGTACCATTAGGAGGAAAGGAAAACATCATTGAGATGCCAATATGCTACAAAAGCCCCCACCATAGAGCAGAGCCCAGAGCCAGGCAGAGATGA